ATGTTTCTTTCTAAGTATGCTCGCTTTGGTGCAAAGGCTTTTGTTTAGTCCAACTTTTGCTGCTTGATCATTCTAGCTAAACATTGGTGCCAGGGAGGACAAGGACAAGTTGGTCAACATGTTCATCGAAGTCAGCAAGAACGACACCATGATGAACAACTGGGTGGGACGTGCGAAGTCATGACCCAAACATCCAGGGTCCTCTGGTGAATCAGTTGTATGGATTCCTTCTCAGTCCTGAGGTCATACAAGCCGCCATTGACCGATGAGGAGAAGGCTGCTAGGTCCAAGAGAAAGCGCAAAAGCAAAAAGGACAAAGTCAAGAGTGAGGATGAGTCAGAGACAGAGTGCTTTGGATGCACACACGCAACATGCATGCATATGCGGCCGTCGAAGTTGTTTGGAAAACCTGCAAGGAAAAAGCAGAAGAAGTGATGCAGCATGTGATTTTGATGAGCGGGCAGTGTCTATTTTGTTCTCGGGGTTTTGGTTTAATGCCAATCTAATGGATTGGATGTCAAGCGCGGTGAGATGGGACGTCACTCATGGAGATTCAAAAGCTGACATGCATGATCACTTAGTTGTTTGATGTTCATTCATGCCTGGCAAACCTATCCCAGCTTCATGCATGGATTGAAAAGAGTCTGTTGCAGAAGTGATTATACTTTTCCATGTGTGCATGTCGTGTGCTTGCGCAGGTGTTGATCTTGTTGCAGATTCGGCTGGAGAGACAGGCTTGAAGATTTGATGTCAAAATCTTACACCCTTAATTGGATATATATGTATAATCATGCATGAATGTCAGGAAATGCTGACCAAGATCAGCCAGAAGATTCTGGTGACCAAGAAGCAGAACTTCTGGAAAGACTTCTGGAACATTTTGAGACAGGGGTCTCTCCCTTAGTGATTGTGGAACCTGTGGAGGGGCAGCTAACACTAATATTGTGGTCTGAGGCAGACAGTGCCCGCACGTGTGTGTCAGCATGTCAGCTGACAAGCAAATTCCGAAGACCTGATGGACGCTCGATGCTTAGGGTCCAACTGAACGATTAAAGTAAGCTCATGGGTTTCTGAGGTCGGTCAGATGTCCTCCAGCAGATCGGAAGCTGGAGCAATCCAGGAAACTGGTCTCGAAACCTTCATAGACTGATCATGCGCTATGGCTTGTCATTGCATGTCAAGCTATCAAGTGTACAATGTCCTTGCTACTTCCACAATGCTACTTCAAGTGTTCCATGGCCAGTGATGCTTTTATCGTCCTGGCTTGATGTGATCTTTGCAAAGACTCGTGGAGCACTCATCTTGAATGGGTTCTCCGTGGATGACAAGGCGCATGAGCTCGCTCTTTCGAGCTATTGGCAGCTTTACAAAGCTGTTGCTCCAGAACATGCATGTTTCAGCCACCACGGCAACAGGTTGCACCGAGTAATCCCCTTTATGTACCATGGGGATGAAGGGCGCGGCAAATTGAAACGGGCAGTATTGGTTACTTCTTATGTGGCAGCCTTGGCAGCTGTTGGAAAGCCTTTTGGGCATTCATTCTTGTCTCACTTTTTGTGTACGCTCTTCCCGGGTGAACGCTATGCCATTGGCGATGATGGGGTGGAGTCGCTCGAGAGCATCCATGCTATGGTCGCAAAAGACCTCAACGATTTGTTCAACAATGGATTTGAAGCTCTGGCCTTATGTCCTGATTTATGGTGAGTGATGAGCGTGACATAAACATGTGCATGTGCAAATATGTGCAATATTGTCCAAACATGTCCAATATTGTGCTTGCATGTGAGGTGGTCAAGGCTGATGGAACCACCACTCGCATGTATATTGCCATGGTTGGGGTGCGTGGGGATTGGCCATGGCAACGTGTCTTGTTTGCATGCAAGTTCTGCAGAACTTTATTTGCAACATGCTGTGGGTAGTATGTGTGCTCACACTTTGAGGTAAATGTCACTTGCTCGACAGTGGGTTCACCAGCAAGAGAGTTTGTCACCTCTGCAGCGGTCAGGCTTGCTGGCAGCATGAATGTAGCAAGATTGAATGGAACGGTTAATAAGACTTTTGATGCAGGCATGGTGGAGGACTGACTTGAGCGCTCCATGGCGGTCACACCGTCCGGGGTCTGACCCTACCAAAGCACCTTCAGCTCTAAGTGCTGTGCCAGGGTGCCGGTATGATGATGCATGCCCTGACCAAGCCCATACTTGGCATCTAGGAGTAGGACAACACCTATGCGGATCGCTGATAGCAGCTCGGGCTTGCGTGCTGATGTTTGAGAATGCAAGAGTAGTTGCAACGCAGTTCCGCACGAGGGTTGATCTGAGGTGCTTTTAGCATGCAGGTTGCGCTGGTGGGGAGGAACCAAGATTGAAGAGAGCTTGTCCTTGGCATTTGCCAACTTTGATTCGTGGCGCCGCCAGAAACATTTGAAGTGCACCGTAACCACCTTTGACTTGACAAAGACCTTCAAGTGCACTTCGCTTCAAAGTTGCACTAAATTGGAAGTGACATTTGACTTCAATAGGATGTGGTTTTTCATTTGATCCTTGTGAGGCTGTCAAGCTGGCCTAAGTTTGGTGGCAAGGGATTTGACACAACTTGTTTGTTGAAATGGCTTCATTGGGTTCTTTGCAGTGGGCCTGCTCCAGCCACTGTGTTTTGGATTGTATTATGCGCGTGTGTGTGTGTAGCCTGTGTCTAATCCTGAAGACTCACACTGTGAAGCTAGGTGGATCTTGAGTTGCTCCATCTCATGCGGTGGACAATGAGTGCAGTTGATGAGTACTTCCATGGCATCAACGTCAAAGGACGCCGATGGATTCCATCCCCAGAAGCAGCGAAGTTGTCGCAGCATTGTCACAACATGACAGAGCCTAGGTTGAGCTGATAGTGGTTCGAGTGCCTGTTATAACGCAATCTATACTCTATACCCAATATAGCTCTTTTCAGGAAGGATACATTGGCCTGGCAGCGTGTTGCAAAGCACGTGGATGGAATCTGTTCAAGCGCACCCCCAAGCTGCATATGGAGCAAGAAATTGGGTGACATGTTGGCAGCTAGTGTCTTATCTTGTTGTGAGGTTCTAGTGCTGTTTTGGTTCTATGCAAGCCCTTGAAACTGCAGGCTATTTATCGAAGATCAACTTGCCAGGGGAGCTTTGATGGTCTACAGCCCTCAATGCCACTTTGCAAATGGTTTTCATGCATGTGTGCACACATGTGTGGTGAGGCAGGCAATTGTATGTTTTGCAAACATACTGCATGTGAACCAAGTCTTTTGGTTGTGCAAGCCGGATCTTAGGTTTTGCAACCTGGGTAGATGAAGATTACATTGGAAGAGTTGGAAGCTCATATCTTCGATTATATAGGTCTTCTTTGCTCATTGTTTTGCATCTCTGAGGTGTGTAGAATGAGCAGGCGATGTCATAGCTGGTTGATTTGCATCAGAACGATGCGACGCGCTCTCCTGCATTACAAACGCAAGTGGAACAGGTGGTTGAAAATATGTGCATGAGTGCTGGGATGGGGCTAGAATGGTTGAAGGCAAGTTGTGGTACATGATATCCATGAATGATGGGAGAACAAAAAAAGATCGAGCAACTTTTTTTTTGAGACCTTGAATCGTGCAAGTTTTTTCAAAGCGAGCAGAAATAAAGTGGGACACATTTTTGTGTACCAAATGATGCTATAGGTTGTTCCTTTTGACACGAATCATGTTCTATTAATTCCTACGTACATCCAAATTCCTGAAGTATTGAACACCATGTCGATGAGAAACAGTTTCATGGACCATGCACCGAACAAATGAAACATTCCCTAGTGCTAATTTGCTAGAATTATAAAAAAACCTTTCATATGGTAAGGCCATAATCCGTGCTTTAAAAAAAGGCAAAAAAGTCAACTGGAAAAGTCAAAGTCAAAAAAAAAGTCAAAAAAAGTCAACCATAGACCACAGCTCGAAGAAGTAAAAAAAAAGAAGTCAAAAACAAGTCGAAAAAAAATCAAAAAACGTCAAAACTGTGGCTCTTCGCCTTGGCGGAATTACTGGAGTCAAGAAAAGTCAAAAAAAAGTCAAAAAAGTCAACCGTAGACCACAGCTCGAAAAAGTTAAAAAAAAGTCAAAACAAAATCGAAAAAAAGGTCGTCAAAAAAAGTCGAACAAAAGTCAAAAAGAAGTCAAAAAAAAGTCGAAAAACTGTCGAAAAAGGTCGGATCTGGGCAAATTGACATTTTTTGACTTTCTGAAATTTGCTGATTTGACCTTTTTTTGACTTTGACTTTTGGGATTGACGTTTTTTTGACTTTTTTTTAATTAGAAAACAGGCTCTTTCCAATGCAAGGTTTTTGTATTGCTAGAACACTTTGATGTCAAATCTCATGGATGGGAAATGCCAATGCAGAGAAAGAGTGCGGACAAAGGACAGCAGGACAAGGTTCAGGACAAGGACGGCACAAGCTTCAGGGGCGCGGCCGGGCAGACCGTGGCCAGCGTGTTTCTTTTCTAAGAGAGAACCCCAAGCCGTAAACGTTTTTTGTTGGTAAAAAGGAGGTCAAGAACGGGTTCTTCTTCTTGCCTTGTTGAGGTTCACAGGGTCCACAGGGCCTGGTTCAACCCCACGGACAGGAACACACGGGTTAGGACATGGCGGCGGCACCAGGGAACCCGTTGGAGGTTTTTTTTCCGAAGATGAGCGGAATGGACGAACTACAGGAGGTCAACCAACATCAGCGTCTAGAGCTCCCGGGTAGCTAGATCCGAATTCGGCCCTCTTAGTACCCTCTTAGACTCTTAGCCCTTCAGATGTCTGTTTGTGCAAATCATTGCAAATCTATCTAAGTCTAAACTGAAAGCCATTGTAGATGGGAGAAAGGTACTGAGAAAGGTATGAAACAGCAATACACTGCCTGAAGAAAAATCTGGAAAATGGAACACCTCCTGTTTGGTCTTCTCCGGAAAACTCCTGGTCCGAGTCTTCCAGGCGCGAAGGACGACCCAGGCCGTGCCTGCAGTGTTCTTCTTCCGGACCTCGGAAAGAGACAGACACCGACGCTCGAACGGCCATGGCTCTGATGTACGAAGTCTTCCTTCCCAGGGGAGCCACGGGTGCCCGTGTGCCTCGTCCCATCCAGGGGCTGTGGAGGTGACGTTGGAGAAAACCCCGACGGCACCCTCCATGGAGGGATAGCACCCGTGCCTCCATGAAACTCTGGTCCTTGCAGTTTGTTTCTCTGTTTTCGTTACTCTTGGCAACTTTTGCTTTCTCTTTCTCCCCCTCTTTCGATCAATCCATCCATGATATATATATATATATATCTACTTATACATCTGTTATTGATGTATCCACGTATCTTTTGGTGTTTCGTTCCTTCTCTGTACCTGTATCAAGTATCTAGGTCTTTTTGATGCAATTATTTAAATGTGTCTTTGTGTCTGTGATTGCCCCCCTATGTTTTGATAGTTTGGTAATACTTTGTAATCTTTTTACCTTGAAGGACCTACTTCATCCTCTTACCTTTTTATCTCTAGTTGGACCCTCTGCTGAAAAACAACGACATTGACCATCAGGAACTAAGCTGCTGGCAGGCCAAGGGACCTGGGAAAGGCTGCAAAAGAAAGCAACAGGAACTAGGCTCGAAATGACACCGCACTCGATGGATTGGTTTAAGGGAAACATCTACAGGAAACCCATGGCTTTCACCCCCAAATTGTTGCTTTTTGGTGATCATTTAAACCGATTCTGGGATGCACGCTTGCATGTGTTCAACCCATTCCAGCGCTTTGCCTCAAGAATGACCCGAACAAGGGAACCCTTTAAACATCTGCACATCGCCGACGAACGATCTACGGCCTTGACAGAGCCCCCGAGCCATCGGCGGATGAGCCAGGGCAGTAGATCGCTTTTGTAGAGGAACATGGGTCAAGAGTAGGGCCATCGGTCATCTAAATCCATGACTCTTGACGGAGGATGTGTTCTTTCCTTTTTTGGCGCCCCCAAAAAACCGACACATCTCTGCCCACCTCCTCGGCATAAATAATCCGCCGTGGCACGGAGGTCGCCTGGTGTTTGGTGTCCAGGTGGTGCCCATGAGGTGCTGGGTGCTCCAGGTGAAACCCTCCAGATGTTGTGTTATGGGAAGCACTCAAACTTTTCCAACACCACTGATATATTCCAGCACTCAAAACGTCTGCATCTGAAGGGGCACAACTTGTGCATCTAGTCTTCTAGTCTAGTCACTATAGTCGTGAAGTCATAGGCCTGGAATTTCTGGTTGACGCATTCCTTCTCACTTGGAGTCCACTTTTCCTATCATCAGCAAATTTCTTGGGATCTGCGAGTGACACTTAGAGACTTGGCGCAGAGCTATGCGCAGGGCGTACAACTTTTGCACCAAGAATCCCTGGTGAAGAGGACCGCTCTTGGATAAAGACAGCACTTACAGTAGTTTTGAGACTTTACAAGCTCGCTTCAGTCCATACTTTCATAATAAAGAAAAAAAATAATAGTAATAGGAAGAACAACCCACCGCACCGCCAGCCGGAACACATAGGGCATGTTGACTGTTGAAGTCCTGACTCCTGACTATGTCTTACTTGTCCTACAAACAAGATACAAACAAGAACTCCAGGGCTGACTGAGGAAGCTTTGTGAAAGGTTCCTGTCCTCTTTGAAACGCACGGCCCACAAGTCGCAAATCAAACTTCCAAACAGCTTGCGCTAACTGGGGATGATCGGAAGACCCCCCATGCACCATCCTGTTCCGAACACGGCGTTCCGGACCCAGCCCTTCGTGTTTCAACACAAGACCCCAAAGACCCCAAAGACGCTTTGACAGGGCTTTCTGAGTAGATGGCACTGGCACCCCAAGATATCTTTTGGGGCCCATCTAAACCACCAAACTTGGGGTCTGTGGCAATGGGATCTTGTGCCGAGGCTCGGGTACCTCAATTTCTGGAACCAACAGGTCTGACAGAAGAACGTTGATGACCAGAGTTTTTTGGCTTCCCAAATGAGGTACACGGCAGATCTTAATATATATATATATGTAAAAATGCCGCCCCGCAGCTAGAAATGAAATTTATGAACATATATATCCTGCCACTAACATCCACTAACCACACCATGAGCTTGGAACCAATACCTGACCCCTCAGTTTCCGTCTGTTCATATTTGTGGAACAGATGCTTCATTAACGCTTCGCCGGGTAGTAACCACTCCATACGATCCCGTTCGCGTCCGCGCCTTGCGGCGTGTCCGAAGCACTCCATCACCACGCCTGCCAAGGGCTGTACCGATCGAACGTAGCACAGGTTAATCGTGCGAACGTGCGAACGAAGGACATAGGACCTATGCGTTGGGTCTATCCTATTACCAAAGCCCAGTGGATGATGGTTAGTAAAGGCTTGTTCCAAAATTGTTTACTGACTGTTACAGGCACTAGGACAGACCCAAAACATGTGCCAGAAGAATCCAGAAGCAAGCGTTCTGCGACGGGGCCAGACTTGGCAGCACAATGGTCAGGATTCTGAGCACCAGGAATTGGAATCCATACAGCTCAACAACAGAAGCAACATATTCTGCGACCATTCTCCACAAAACTGAGACGAACTTGCTGTGGATTTGGGCTCGAAACTCCCCATAAGCCACCAAGCTCGAACACCTCAACATCTCGATTTCTTGTGGCAACTTTCTTGCACAGCTATCTTACATTCAGCTCAGTGCCCCCCCCCAAAAAAACAGACACCTGCACTGCGTATCGTCAGGTCCGGTTTGACGCTCCCCTGCATCTCCGTCCGCCCTCCGTCCCTTTTTGCATGTCGCCGGCCGCCGGCCGTCGACCCTTCTCCTTGGCCGGTCGGGGAACTCGGCCGTACGAGTCCAGAGAGTTCGAGACCATCCGTCCGAGGGAGGTCGCCGGGACGGGGTCGCGGGACGGGGTCGCGGATCCGTCGTGTCTTTTGGGACGATCCGACCTGCGAACGCAGGAGGACCAAGACTGTCTTCCTTGAGGGACCAGTTTCATGCCGATCCACGCTTCGCGGTCCGTTTTTTCTTTTTTTTCAGGAGTGCACATGATCGTAGAATCCGAGCAAGATGGGCATCACTGGACAAGCGACGAATCGACGGATACTGTGTTCCGAGGTATCTTCCAAACACCAGCTGCCTTCTTCACTTCACACATGCCGACAAGTTGCATGAGACCAGCTGCGAGAAATCCTGCCAAGTCACACGGCCAACTACATGGATCATGGATCAATATGATTAAAACACACACCATGAAAGAAAGCACCACAAATTGATCCACATGAAGCAACAGCGATCCAAATCAGAAAACAAACAAACATTGGACCACCAAATGAAGAGAAAACACACATCAGACCATGTGGGGTGTGTAGCTCAAAGTAGGAAGACCGGATCCGACCCCCTTTCGGCACGGATCCGACCGACCCCCTTTCGGTTCAGACCCAGCTCCAAACAAAGCAACAGAGACGAGGGTGAATACATGTACACGGACGACTTAATCAACAAACATCTTCAAAAAGCAACTCTATATAATAGGTACAAATTGGACGACTAGTTTCCTCCAAGAGAACCAACCTGTTTGCCAAACACATCTTACTTCACCGAGCTGACAGCGCTTCGATTCGCCTCGGAAAATCGGCACTTTGGCCATGCTCGAGGCTCATCGGACCTGGTCCACCAGATGCAAGAAAGGACAGTACCCAGGCCCAGCTCGGTCGGGAAAACACACACAAAACATATACAGTAAACAAACATCACACACACATATATACTGTATATATAATCCAAGAGCGTTGTCTCTTTTTCTAAATAACTTTTGGATCACACCAGCCAATTCTTGCAGCCCTAAGGCAGGTCTGAACGTATTTGAAACTGCACCATTCTTTCTCTACCAAGCTGAGATGACAGCCACAGAATCTAGAACTTTGCCTGACACCTTGTTTCCGGACGAGGCACTGATGTATGTCCATGGGCAGCTTGGTCTGCCGCCAGCCAAACAAATCCTCACAGCCGGGTCTCGTGGGAATGGTCGAGGGAGATAGCCCGGTGTCAATTGCAGCAGTTTTCAGAGTAGATGACACAATCCATCACAATCTCCCATTCTGGTGATATGCTGTATATGGACCCCCATCTGTTCAGGACATCTTGGGTTTTTTTGTGCCATCTACTCTGAAATTGTAAACCAAGATGGGTTGATAGAAGAATGGTCGAGATCAACGCCACCAGGACAACCAGGCCAGATCGGATGCGTTGAAGCGTTGAAGATCGGATGCCTTTGAAGGCCGGTTCGCCTGCTGTAGACTCTTGATGACTGGGTGGCTTGCCTCGTCCCATGGAGCTGAGTGGATATGAATGGATGTTTTGGGCACCCACTTGGGCACCTCTATCCTCCTGGCCCTTTCATTGGGAATGCGACACCTTTTGCATATGGGAGGCTTATGGAGGTTTGATCCTGTTTGATCCATCAAGAGTCGACTCGGAGGTCGCGACCAGGGTCCGACTTCACCTTTCGCAGGCGAGCTGAGTCGTGTTCCGAAGTCGTGAGCCTTCTGAGCACTCCATGATGCCATGATCCCACCCCCAGACATGACAAATAGGACTGAGATTTTTGGCCGATCAATTGACCCCTGAAAGCCACCCCAACTGAGCATGGCACTTCCCAGATGGCGGTCGTGTCTGGAACTAGTTTCGATTCGATGAATTCGATGAAGACATCATATGTCTGGAACTTGAGTGACCCCTGGTGGTAGTTTATTGTAGAGGATCCTCCTTTTGTTTCATTTGTTTGAGAGGAGGGGGGGGACCCCCTTTACTAATCAAGATCCAACATTACCTTAGAAACATGGTACAAATAGAATGTCCCAAGCACCTTAGAGAAACATGTTCTAACTTGGAGAATCACCGAAAAACATCTGACCTTTTCCATCCTCTCAACCAAGTCGGACCGGTCTTTTGTTACATCACATCTCGACTTCCTAAGGCGGCCCCTGCAGCACCGTCCTCAGAAGCTGTGCAGCACCTCGATGTGCCGAACGCCGGACGCCGGGGACCGTCTCTCCACGAAAACAGTCGCCGTCTCCCAGCGACATGAGGTGCTGGCACGTGGTAGAGCTCCGGTGAGCGTTTCGCAAGCACATCCAAATGGTCACCTAGGCCGGGCCGTTGCGCGGAACGCCGCGGCGAGGCATTTGTGGCTTCGACTTCTGAAAGAACGTGGGGGTGAGCCACCCCGCCTGCGATTGGCGATTGACAAAGCAAGTTGTTCTAGGATCAAGGCCCATCATCTTGCAATGAGCTTGCCTGCCCAAGAATCTCTCAGAATATCATGTCATTTGTCGTCATTGATCCCTTTGGCTTGTCAAGCTGGCCGCTGCAAACTGCTGGAAAACACAGGCTTACTCAGCCTTCTCTGAAGCTCCACAATGATCTGCTCCTCTACACCGTAGCGACACCAAATCCCCTGCAAGCAAAGGGGGCGATGCATGGCGATGCATGGCGATACATGTTCTCCGAGCACGGAACCCCAAAGCGACACTTTGTTCTTCACCTTTTTTCAAATGAACACATTTGGTCCATTCTTTTTTCTTTTCTCTTGCTTCTCTGAAGTCTCCCATCTAAAGGTGCATCTTTCGTGTGGTTGGGGAAACAACCAAATTGAAACTGGGCGGATGTCGGTTGCAGGACTGAATCTAGGTTTCGGAACGGGAAAAACTGTATGTCGTCCAGGTCCCAGGTAGCTGAGTTTGGCAAGCACGCCCACAAAACCCATTTTCTTCCAACTCAAGCCTCCCCCCATGGTAGTCAACGAATTATGCGAAGACTTGTACTTTCGAACAGGTACACATTTACGACTGTCAAATAGAAGCTGAGTCTAAGACTGAAAGACTATCTTCACTTCGGAGACCGTGCCGGACCAACACGTCGCCCACCTGCCCATAGCGCATGAGAGGGATCGGCTCGCCTGCGAGCAACAGGGGTGTTCTTCGCAGAAGGCAACATGTCACATGTCATGTCTACTAAATTTGCCATTACAGTATTTGGTCCCTTTTCTTCCTATATATAGCTATAGTAGGTCATGAGTCATGCGTAATACATCGTATATACTACTTTAAGTCATTGACAGCAACATCGAAGTACAACGTCTCCCAAGCAGATCTCAAAAACATCGGGTCCCGGTCCGATGCTTTGGTGACGCGCCTCCGATGTATTCACCGGCCAAGATGGTTTGGGAGCCGAGGCGGCCAGGACTGTCCAACCTGAGACGGCGAGTCTTTCGTCCGCTGGAGCGACACGTCCGGAGGGAACTGGGGCGTGGGGCGAGACCTGTGAGGGATAAGGACGCTTTAAAAAGGTGGGAAACCAGCGGGAACTGAGTTTTTTTTTCCAGACATCACTGGAAGTGGAGCAAGAACATGTTCTTTTGGTACAACGACAATTGTTCGTAAAGACCATGAAGGAACCATATTTATTCATCCTTCGAGGTAGCGAATCTTGGAGAGGACAGGGAAGAGTATCGGTCAACGCTTGGGCGTGTCCTGAGACGAGCGCCACGATCAAGAACATGGAAGTAAATTGGGGGTTATCCGAGAAAAAGATAGAAACAGTGCATGCGCGTTTCATGTATTTTCATGCCTGCTTGGACGTTTCATCCAAATTCATCCAAAGTTTTGTTACTGAGCGGACGCCGCCTCCCACCAGTCGTAGAATACATGCTTTTCGGCGCTGACTAAGTCAAAACTCGGTCATCCGCGCCTGTTCACTGAGACTAAGTGGAAGCGGTTCTCCGTGGCGCCTGAGGCGGAGTTCGTGGTTTTGGACGCCACGGAGTGGTTGGAAGGGGTGCTGTTGGCCCTGAAAAAACATCCGGAGTGACCCGTGAGTGACCTCTAAATTCGGACACAAAATTCCGTCCCAAAAGATGTTGTCCAGTTTGGGCTCCAATGCTCAACAATCACATCACATGGTACGTCTTTGGTCGAACCTTTCGAGCCAAATGACCTGTTTGGGTGAACGTTTCGACCACATGCCGGGCTCACGTTCAGTGGCTGCCATCTCGCCAGCATCTGACACGTCCCAGTCTGCACAATGTAGGACCACCTTCGGGGGGGTCGCTTATAGGTCCGGCCGACTGAAGCGAAACGAAAGAGCCCCTTGAAGTGGATCGGGATGCCTGGAATTCCAAGCTCAGGTTTTTCAGTGCATCTTTGCCGAAGTTCAACCAGAAGACCTTGGAGAAGCAGCTTCAGTTCAAAC